TCTGCAGAGTACAGCATACCTAAGTGAGTCCCTGGATTTGGTACCCGTGAAGATCTGGTTATAATAGGTCATCACAAACCTTTGTTTGACGCAAGAGGCGACTAATGGAATCGGCTGGTCAGGCTTGCTGACTTGGTTGACACATGTCATCGTATCTCAGTTGGGTAGATCATTGCTCTTGCTGTTGATCACTGGATTGTCTGGTCCAGACTATATACAGACTGCTGCCATATAACCGAAATACTGCTGAGTGCAGCGTCAACAACCGATGAACCAACCCTGGATTTGGTGAGAGGTTTTAGCTCTGGCCTGTTGGCCACCTGTGAACAGGACGCCACAGCGGCTGAATGGGTTAGATTGCTGACCTTGTGTACCTTGATGGGACTCAACAATCTGTACTAGAATCTGTACTTTACTGAGAAAATGTAATACCAAATATAACATATGTTACATGTACCATGATTCCCAGACCAGAATGGGATTCCGCAGGGATTGACCATTATACTTTCTGGCTGGTTCCTGGGATTTGTGTTATAAAGAAACATTTTGCCTCAGTTTTAACCTTTGAAAATAGGTCACTGGAAGTAGTAAGAAAATGTCTTCTCAGATGCCAGTTCATCTATCAAAGACAAAAAAGCATACATGTTACAGTGACAAAGCGAATTCTATCTCAGCCTGAAGTACTCAAAAGCCTGCTTCATCCTTTTGCAATCCTACCAGGTAGGATTATACCTCCTTCTTCCCTTGTATATACTCAATTTACAGATCTGGCTTCCTGAACATCTATATATATATTTGTCTTGTATTACTACACCAACTTCTAAATGCCATTGAAGAATTTCCCTACCATGTATCATCAGGCAACTTTATGTGTTTGCTGGAAATGTAATGTGATTGTTCTTAAGACTGGACTTCGACTAACCCCCAGTGTTGTGTTTGTTGTCAGTGATGGTCGTGTGAGCAAGGCCACAGTGCTGGTGATCCAGAGACTACTGGTGCTGGAACCACAGACTCGGATGACCGCAGGTCAAGTCCTGGATGACCTTGGGACAATCATTGCCACGTGGTATGTACAGGACATGGCACTGCTGTACAATCATTACCAACATTCAATCCCTACCTGTACAATCATTACCAACATTCAATCCCTACCTGTACAATCATCAAGATTCAATCACTACCTGTACAATCATCAAGATTAAATCTCTAACTGTAGAATTATCAATTCCTTTTCAATAGTCATAAGAAAAATTGAGAACATTCTTTCTATTTGAAAATGAATAAGTTCTAAATTTATAAATTTCTTAGGAAATGTTCGCATATTATAGGTGAGGTGGATTGAGTGTCATGAAAGAATGTAAATTATTTGAAGGCCCGTGAAGAATGGTAAACAAATGGGGGTAAGGGAGAGTGAGTGAGTGATTTTTTAGTTTTACGCTGCACTCAGCAATATTCCAGCTATATGGCGGCGGTCTGTAAATAATTGAGTCTGGACCAGACACCCCAGTGATCAACAGCATGAGCATCGATCTGCTCAATTGGGAACCGATGACATGTGTCAACCAAGTCTGACCAACCTGACCACCCGAACCTGTTAGTCGCCTCTTACGACAAGCATGGGTTACTGAAGATCAATATTCTAAACCGGACTTTCACAGGTCGGTAAGGGAGAGTATTTCAGCAAAATATGATAGTCCAAAGAGCAATCCAAGCCAAACCCCCAATCCTCCACCCCTATGAATTAAGCCAATCATGATTAGTCTTTTCTTGTACATTTATACACAAACTAAATCACAAACTGTGCTATAATTTGTTTTTCATGCACATGGACAGTTCTATCTACCTTGTATTCCATATGAGCCCCAAGGGCTTAAATGTGTTAAGCATTCCATCCTTAGGAGAGCCCTGTCAACGACTAATGTGTTGCACCCCCTTAATCTATGTAACATGATTGTTACTTTCCCTTCCAAGGAGAGCCTTGTCTGTCAGTGGACCAAATCAACAAGTGCCAGACCACCCACCTTCCAAGCCTGACCACCCTCCTGCCCTGCCTGTCCTAACCCAACCAAGTGACCTTGAGGTCAAGCTGCATCAGCTACAGTCAGACTCCCAGAATGATGCCAAGGCTCAGAAGGTTCACGTTGTAAGGAAAAGGCCGACCAATTCTCAGCCCCTCAGTGAGGAGAATGAATGTTGATGCTATGCCTTTAACAGCAGATGAACTCCGTGCTCACCAACACCTTCTCCCAAAATGAGTGATAAGTGGATGTCTTATCTTCAAGGGACTGTTCCACAAAGGAATCTTAGTTCTAAGTTGAACGTACGCCCATACTTTAACATTGGCTTACCATTGTCGCATTACTGAGATCATTTTGTGGGACAGGGCCCAGTCTGTTGTCAGCAGCAGGCTGTGGGGATGTAACCAACCAGAGGCAGTTCTGCACAGTGAGTTGGTGAGGTTTTAACCAACCAGAGTCAGTTCTGCACAGTGAGCTGGTGGGGATTTAACCAACCAGAGGCAGTTCTGCACAGTTAGCTGGTGGGGATTTAACCAACCAGAGGCAGTTCTGCACAGTTAGCTGGTGGGAGCTGACAAACCAGAGACAGTTCAGCAGTGAGTTGGTGGGGATGTAACCAACAGAGGCAGTTTTGCACAGGTAGCTGGTGGGATCTGACTGTTATTGAGAGGTATTTTCTTCAGGGTCTTTTTGAATGCATATTTGGTATGACATTCTGTTGTGTAATTCATCAATGACACAATTTCATTGCATGTCATATTTACATCCATTAATAATCATGATGTTTGGACAATATAAATCCTCAAACTGCTACATGAAAGTATTGAAATGAGTGCAGGGATTGGGAAAGGCAGGGGCCATGGGCCATTTTGCACATTAGAATAAAAAATGGCCCATTAAAATTTGAAAGTTATTATTGATAGAAGGGCAGTGGCCCATTCTAAATTCAGAAAATTGCTAATAATCCTGAAAATGGCCCATTGTCAAAGTTCTCTATCTCAGTCCCTGTGAGTGTCACATGAACAAAGTGCTGAGTGAGTGAATTTAGTTTTACACCACACTCAGCAATATTCCAGCTATATCAACAGCATGAACATCAATCTACGCAACTGAGATATGATGAAATGTGTCAACCAAGTAGAGAGCCTGACCACCCAAACCTGTTAATCGCCTCTTACGACATGCATGGATTACTGAAGATCAATTCTAACCCGGATCTACACAGGTTACAAAGTGCTGACCTGCATGAAGATAATCATGTTCACTGTAAAGTAATGTGATGTTTCATTTGAGACATCTGCATGAACAATCTACAATATGGAGTATTTTGTCATGACATCTTGTGAAAAATGCTTTTGTACAGATGTATATAGTAAATCATAAATCTATAATAAACTGTGAAGTATGTAAATGTATTGTCATTTGTTGGCAGGCCAAGACGCGATCTAGTCTGTTAACTGGAATATCTAGTTTACCGGACTACAGCAATTGAGAACATAGATGCTTGTGTCATATCTTGAAGCTACATACACAAGCATACTGACATCCACACAGATGATTCTGGGCCTAGATTTTCTAAACTCTCTTAGAGCCAAGATAGTCGTAGTGCCATACCTTTAACATTAATTTTATGATTATCTTAGTGTTAAAGAGAGCTTTGAAAATCTAGGCTTTGGAATTTAACCAGCCAGAGGCAGTTCTGTACAGTGCGTTGGTGGGGGATTTAACCAACCAGAGGCAGTTCTGCACAACAAGTGCGTTGGTGGAGGATTTAACCAACCAGAGGCAGTTCTGCACAGTGCTGGTGAGGATTTAACCAACCAGAGGGAGTTCTGCACAACAAGCAGAGGATTTAACCAACCAGAGTCAGTTCTGCACAGTGGTTTGGTGGGGATTTAACCAACCAGAGGCAGTTCTGCACAGTGCGTTGGTGAGGATTTAAACAACCAGAAGCAGTTCTGCACAGTTAGCTGGTGGGGATGTAACCAACCAGAGTCAGTTCTGCACAGTGGTTTGGTGGGGATTAAACCAAACCAGAGGCAGTTCTGCACAGTGCGCTTGGTGAGATTTAAACAACCAGAAGCAGTTCTGCACAGTTAGCTGGTGGGATGTAACCAACCAGAGTCAGTTCTGCACAGTGCTGGTGGGGATTTAACCAACCAGAGTCAGTTCTGCACAGTGCTGCGTGGTGGGATTTGAACCAACCAGAGGCAGTTCTGCACAGTGCGTTGGTGAGGATTTAACCAACCAGAGGCAGTTCTGCACAGTGCGCTGGTGGGGATTTAACCAACCAGAGGCAGTTCTGCACAGTGGTTTGGTGGGGATTTAACCAACCAGAGGCAGTTCTGCACAGTGCGTTGGTGAGGATTTAAACAACCAGAAGCAGTTCTGCACAGTGAGCTGGTGGGGATTTAACCAACCAGAGGCAGTTCTGCACAGTGCGTTGGTGAGGATTTAAACAACCAGAAGCAGTTCTGCACAGTGAGCTGGTGGGGATGTAACCAACCAGAGGCAGTTCTGCACAGTGAGCTGGTGGGATCTGACAAACCAGAGGTAGTTCTGCACAGTGCGTTGGTGGGGATGTAACCAACAGAGGCAGTTTTGCACAGTTAGCTGGTGGGATCTGACAAACCAGAGGTAGTTCTGCACAGTGCGTTGGTGAGGATTTAACCAACCAGAGGTAGTTCTGCCCAGTGAGTTGGTGGGAATTTAACCAACCAGAGGGAGTTATGCACAGTGAGTTGGTGGGAATTTAACCAACCAGAGGTACTCTGCCCAGTGAGTTGTTGGGTATTTAACCAACCAGAGGGAGTTATGCACAGTGAGCTGGTGGGTATTTAACCAACCAGAGGCAGTCCAGAAAGGGCTCTGCATAAGGAGCTTGACTTTCATGCAAACAATATAAGCAGTGTATAGAAAATAACACCTATATATTCTCTGCCTGTTAACTGTCATAAGCATAAAACAGCAAGAAGCAAAGCATTAACATTTAAAATAATTTATTAACAGTAACAATTGTAAGTTTAAGTCAAATAAATTAACACTTTTTGTACAAAAAAACAACACATCACGCTAAATTTGTAAATATTAAACTGCAGGCCTTTGAGCTGTTGAAAAGATTCAACAGACAAACAGTTTCAAGGTATAGTAAACAGTGATGATTAGGTAATAATATTCTGCCCAAAACAATGGCTTGGGCTGCTTAGTAATGCTGTTATCACAGACAAAAATCAATTCATAATAAATAGCAACTCTTTAGTTACCCTAACCCTTCTAGATTAAGGTTTCTTTAAAACAGTGTGAGAAATCAGGATATGTTGTTCCATCATGGTGGTTAGCTGTGACAGCAGGTTCTTTAAACAGTGAGATATCAGGATATGTTGTTCCAACATTATGTGCCTGAGCCATGATGCATATTTTTTGGATGATATTGACCCTGTGTTGCTAATGCCACAGAGACAATGAGATTGCCACATACACTATGTACAGCGCCACTGAAGAAGTAGTCATCGAGGCACCACCTGAAACAACAAACATCTTTAGTGACAAGGATAACATGCAAGAAAGGGTAGTGCAGTGTGCAAAATAGCTACTGGCCTGATAGCCTGTGGCTAGTAAAAATCCAGTCAGGTCAGTAAATCTCCACAGTCACTGGCCTGACTGGCAAGTGAATTTTCATGCTGTCATTTTGTAAATATACCACTCTCTCCAACTTGTTAAGTTATAGCACACTTTCAAATCATGCAAGATTATGACCTGATAAAAATTATCATCATAATAGCAGCTTAATGATGAAACCTGTGTCTATATTCAAATTTCAAACTAGTGAATTATTCTGTGGACTAGTAACTTTCAGGCATAGCTAGCCCAACTGGCTTGCAAAATTTGGAAACTATTTTGCACACTGGTGGTGATGTTTCATGATTCCATTTTTAACCTGCATCCTATTAGAGATGTTTCAGCTATAAAAACGATGTGCTTCATGTTTCTCAATTCTCACCCAACCCTATTCTTGAGCCCCCCATATTAACTTGAGTTCCACCATAGCCTTATCATCATCTTGAGCTGTATTTTATATCAAGTACAAATTTGTTGAATCTTGCTGATGTAGGTAAACCAGTCATTATTTTCTTTTGAAAGCAATTTTTTACTGACACTCTGCAAATAAAATTTATCACAAAAAATACAAAACAGCCAACCCACCAACCTACCTTATTCTTGGATACCACTAAACGCTCCACAAAATTTCAGTATGTATTTTTCTTCGCCTTTACTGCAGCAAACAGTATTACTCATATTTATAAGTTACTGGATGTCTATTAACACAAGCTCCCTGGATAATAGCACAAACAACTTGACTATCAACGGGATCATGTAACAGATTGTTGAGGTCAACCAGGCAAGTTTGCCTGGCCCAGACTCGTCACTGCTGAGCCAGAGAAGTGACTTCTGTTGTCACTAGAGTGGTATAGCATAAAGACAGGTCCTGTCAGTGGTGGGTGGCTAACCCCAGCATACAAGTCTGACATACACCACTGAGCAGATGGTACCATGCCAGTATGTCATTAACAATTTTCCAGCTGTGAGTGAGTTTAGTTTTACGCCGCACTCAGCAATATTCCAGCTATATGGCGGCGGTCTGTAAATAATCGAGTCTGGACCAGACAATCCAGTGATCAACAACATGAACATCGATCTGCGCAATTGGGAACCGATGACATGTGTCAACCAAGTCAGCTAGCCTGACCACCCGATCCCGTTAGTCGCCTCTTACGACAAGCATAGTCGCCTTTTGTGACAAGCATGGGTTGCTGAAGACCTATTCTACCCCGGATCTTCACGGGTCATTTTTCAGCTGTATGACAGTGGTCTATGCATAATTAAATTTGCACCAGACAAGCCAATGACATGAGCATCAGTCTACACTATGGGGATATGATGAAATGCCAACCTGACCAGCCAGTGGTGTGAGTCACGTGTTTAGGCAAGCAAAGCTTGCTACAGACCAATTCTAAACCGGATCTTCAAAGATGAGATGGTCCCAGATGAGTGAGTGAGTGAGTTTAGTTTTACGCCGCACCAAGCAATATTACAGCTATATGGCGGCGGTCTGTAAATAATCGAGTCTGGACCATACAATCCAGTGATCAACAGCATGAGCATCGATCTGCGCAATTGGGAATTGATGATATGTGTCAACCAAGTCAGCGAGCCTGACCACGCGATCCGTTAGTAGTCGCTTTTGTTGCAAGCATGGGTTGCTGAAGACCTATTCTACCCCGGATCTTCACAGGTCAGATGGTCCCAAGTTGTGTTAGTTGTCCCTGTATATCAGTTGGACCTACAGTACTGGTTTATTTGCTTGTTAACTCAATATTCAATTTCCTTGTATGTGATAGAGACCTGTGGTAATCAAGACGGACCAGACAATCCAGTGACTGATATCAAGCAACATTCCACCTGGCCAGGTTGAGATGCCACTCTAACAACTAACATATGTAGATCACCCATCCAATCAATTAAGCCACCTCTCCACACCAACAGGTTGTTGGTGAGCTACTCAAATTCCCAAAGGGCAGTCTGTTTATAACATTGATATGGTAAATAACATACTTGTAAGTTCACAATTGTCGAGATTCTCAATTACAGTTTTCACAGCTGTGATGGCAACATCGAAGATAATTTTGGCAAAAAGGCTACATGATGATGATTCATCCCTCAGACATCTATAGTAGGCGTTCTGCTGCCTGGAACAGAGAGAACTGCATGAGACATTTGGAACTACAAGGGCATGTCTGGCATGATGATGATTCATCCCTCAGACATCTATAGTAGGCGTTCTGCTGCCTGGAACAGAGAGAACTGCATGAGACATTGGAACTACAAGGGCATGTCTGGCATGATGATGATTCATCCCTCAGACATCTATAGTAGGCGTTCTGCTGCCTGGAACAGAGAGAACGGCATGAGACATTGGAACTACAAGGGCATGTCTGGCATGATGATGCTTCATCCCTCAGACATCTATAGTAGGAACAAAGAGAGGCTACTGCTGCCTGGAACAGAGAGAACTGCATGAGACATTGGAACTACAAGGGCATGTCTGGCATGATGATGCTTCATCCCTCAGACATCTATAGTAGGCGTTCTGCTGCCTGGAACAGAGAGAACTGCATGAGACATTGGAACTACAAGGGCATGTCTGGCATGGACATTGAGGTTTATTATGTCAGCAGGAAAAGGGAAACCTTTGTTCGAAAATTGTAAACAAACAAAGCTACTGTAGCATCTATTAGAAAATAAAAATTAGAATGGTGCAATCAGATTTGGGTGAGAAAGCAGGTAAGGCAAGACCATTATCTATGTAAATTTTAAATGTAAGTTGAAAATGTTATATTTGTGCACTTAGAGGAAGAGTGAAAGAATGAACACTACTCAAGATGTTTCATGAGGTGTATTGATGCAATATTCTGGAGAGACTTTTTTCTGTTACTGCTGCTGCTACTACTAGTGTTGGGAATTGGTTAAAATCTCATAATTGATGATTGGTTCATTACAACCGATCAATAATTGGTTATTGTCATTTATGAAATGTTCCTGGTTATTTTTGTTAATGCTCAAATAAGGGGAAAAAAACATGTAGTTCTTTGGGGGTTTTTGGTGCAAAATTTCATATCTTTAAAGGATGACTAGTATGTAAGGAAGTTAATTTCTTAGAGTCTTTAAGATATATTCAATCATGACTTGGAACGAGATTGTAGTGCTTATGAAATTTAACAGACAAAACCAACCTTGTGAAATATATTGTTAATGAAAACAAGTGTTCCAGAATTGTTTGTGCTCGAATATGAGAAAACATGATCGATTGCTTGGTCATATAGTCACTGCGACCAATCTTCGATTATTTCAATTAATCAGACCACCACTAGCTACTACCATTGCTGCTACTGCTGCTGCTCCTGCTACCAGGTCTGCCCACCTGTTCTGGCACAGACTCATAGGACTAGCACACTGCGAACTGCTGGCTGAGTGAAACCAACCCTCCCAGAAGTGTTTTTCACTTTCAAAGGAAGTTCTCAAGTGTTCTCTTTTCTTGTGAAGATTAAGTGATTTAGCTGAAGACAGACCCCACAGACTTCAAGATTTTCTATTGTCAATTTGGACTAAAAACACTCTGCCTTATTTACGCTCTAGACACACTTTATGAGCAAATGAGGTTATTTTCATTACCAAATAGAGATGTGCTTCAGATGTTGCTGAGAAAACATAGGTTACTGGTAGATCCTAAGTTACTTACGCACAGAAAGCACTTGTGTCATTTGATGTGCTGTTCATAGAAGCGGGTGGAACTGTACAGGCTATTAAGTCACAATCACCCTCTGCCATTGGGATGATCCACATAGCAGCCACTGAAGAACAAGCACAGGATCAAGGTAACCGATCAAGAATTTGGGTCATAAAGCTGTCCATATTTTTTCCTGGTTTCCCATCTCAAGCAGCAAACCCAAACTTTTCATTCCCACATAAAATAACACTTTTCCATGCCTTTGTGAAAATTCATCCCCAGGTGTGATAAAATCTTTAAATGACTGGTACCCTTGCACACACATAAAGAAGATGGTGAGCTTGATCTTTCTTCATCTACATTTCTTCTCCCACAAGAAGCCAAGGCATAACTCCAAATTCACTTGTCAGAGAAGTCACTGAAAACAATGTGTGCTTTTAAGTGGTCCAAATGTGCATTTTTCAAGTGAACCCACATGAACAATAAAACTATTAAAGTCCTGAGGGCAGGCAGGAATGTGATTAGGCATTCTTCTGTCACTTCTAACAGGGTTGCCACAGATGACGAAAGTTCAAATTCCCTGACCAATTTGATTTGTCACTGATCAAAATTAAAAGAAAACAAATAAAATTTCGGGCCTCCAAACTCCCCAACAGACGATCTTTCCACACATTTTACTAAAGACAAAGTGAAATCTTAAGACAAAGTTATCAGATGTAATCAAACAAACACAGAGATCCATCTAACATCAAGATGAAGTATATTACACAGAAATATTACCTCAGGTAAACACTGACATAAGAGTTTTGATTTATTTAAGTTTTTAATTTCAATGATTTTATTGTCAGAAAGTCGCAGTTACAAGATTGAGGATTACCTCCAGGAAAAGGGTGACTCATTTGTACAGTATGAAATCTTACTGGTAGAAATTCTGACATTTTCCGAAAAACAAACAAACTCATTCACACTAATACTGTTGTGAGTTTAAAATAAACTGCTAGCTTTTCTCTGTGTCTACTTTTCACTTATAATATATTTTCACCCCCAAATATAAAAAGTTCAACAGAGAGCTTGAGATTGAATATGTGGTCACATTTCTGTGTCAACCATCCATGGAAGTTATTCCAAATGTCTACATATGGACAATGCCAAAACAAGTGAATTAAAGTGAATAATACAAATCTCTATACAAAAACACATTTAATACACACATTGAACTCCAAATCATACAATTGTTGCCTCTGTGAAGTCTGAAAAGAACTAGTTTTCCCTGACCAAAGGCAATTTTCCCTGCCTTTTTTTCCAAAACCCTGATCTTGAAAAAATCATTTCTTCCCTGACTTTTCCCTGACCTGTGGCAACCCTGTTCTAATCTGAAACTATTCGGGTTTTTTGTTCCGCATGTTTTTACTGAAATTTAGATAACAGCTAGACCCTTCAAACGCAAACTTAGTTATTTTAGCGATGTGCCTCAAATAGATCTACTGTACTTAGAAAGGTTTACTCACAGCGGAGCCCCTGAACACACCTGTCCAGAATGGCAGAACCTAGTATTCTTGCCCTCGATTTTTGGCCCCCGTTCATAGCTAGAATAATGCTAAATAAGGCATGAAATAACAAGCACATATACTCCAGATTATGAAATGAAGGTTTTCCTGGGCAATACTGCACGTTGCAGATCGCCGTTATTTTCTTAACCCCCTGGCTGCCGAGTTTTTTTTCAGGCGCACATTTTCATAGCTTTGAAAAGTGAACGTTTTGCGAGAATTGCGCTCGCGTGGTGCTGGATCTACGTACGGCTATAAAATTACACAGAAATGTAGAATATTAAATTTCCTATCCGTTGGTATAAATATAAGCGCAAAAACCTCTGCGGTTTGAGAAAGAGACCTTGCTAAATGTTGTCCAAAGTTTTGTTATGCGTTAAAAAACAGTAAACTTCTCCGCTTTTTATCGCTCACCGATAAAAGCACTGTGCTACGAATTTCCTTTTTTTGCATCTTTCCGGAAAGAGTGAGCGAAGAAAATACAGCCTGATATCTGAATGACATAAGTGTATATGAATTGGATTTATGTGCTTATGCATAACATTATACGCTCAACATTAAAAATGGCTCGCAATAAATATCAAAAATGGATTTTTTCTATGACGTCAGACAACGACAGAGAGGCCATACACGTATAAGGATAAGGGGGCATAACCCCGTTATGCTTAACACTAGGTCAATGTAACTCAGTTCACATGGAGAGAATTTGTTGCGGATACGGACGCTATATTTTCGTTATTTTTTGTTCACGGTGAACCAAACTATTCCCCAATGTGAGCGGATGTGAGCGGATACGCTTTGGTAGTTTCACAGTTTATAAGAAAAGATGACAACGTACTACATGTGAAAGCACGTAATAGCGATTTGAATGGCCCTATCCGATATATAAGTTAGTTCTTAGATTCCCATATTCTGAGATTCTCCTGTTTGTGTAGATGTATTTTGACTAATTGTGCATCGTTATTACCAGAATACTAGCCATATCTTCGAATGTAATGAAATTGCTGAAAATAATACAACATTTTAGTTGACGTCATTGCTTGTTTTATGCATTTTTGCGACGTCGGAAAAGGACGACATTGGTATGCTGATTAGTATATATCTCACCTAATTTCCATTTACTGTGTGAAAGGACTCGGCTTCTTTGTCAGAATTAACATTCTTTAGACAAAACATAAAATGACTGTTTTTTCCATTTAAATAGTGTCCTGAATATACCAACAATTAGACAGTTTGACTGTGTATCTTATCATGAGCAACACGCGCACCTGTTTGGCATCAATTTAACGAAAATAAAAAATAACATTTCACAACACCCGAATATTTTGTTAAGGATAAGAATTTTCTTTATTTATGACTATGTAGCTATTTCTCTTCATAAGTATGCAATGGAAGATGCAAAAAGATAGCTTTTTATATATGGAACTAGTACGTACTAAATATTAGAATATGGATGTAAGATTTGTCCAAATTAATTAAGACATGACATGGTATATATATTTTTAAACAATTTTCGTATAAATATAGTTAGAGTTTGATATCCTGTCATCACAATATTTTTAAATCGAATATGAATTGATTATATTATCGAAAACAATGATAGTGAATCATAAAACGTTTCCGACAAACCCGCACCTGGCCAATCAATATACATAATTGTTTTCTATAAAACGACACAAAATGTGTAATGAACAAGACAATTCCTTTAAATGTGTGTGCATATACGTTTCATAACATACATAAATCATTTTCATTAAATATTATCAGTTTTACATATAAGGTTTAATCAAATCGCCGTTCATTAACCTGCTCATGTGAAACTGCAATATTAGTTCAAATGCATTGAATATTGTACATCATAGGAACTAAAGTAATTGCAGTTATGGCTACGTTTGATCTTCTAACACTTGTGCAAAGGTTTAGAATATGGTGTACTGCACTAAATGTGTCAATATCTTATGTAAATATGATTCAAACAATCAAAAACTTTCAAAGAATAAAGCACCGTAAATCCTATATGCACGTATGATATGATATTGGACAAGGCTAAATGTAGATACTGAGGTCAGTTTCATAAAAAAGTATCTGAACTATCCGCAAAATATACATCATAATACTGACAGTGTAATCGGAAGGATTGGGCGATTGTGTTTACTCTTGTTCAACCGACCTTCACCTCAAAGAAATTGCCTAATATGTACAACAATGTTGACGTATGACATCACTATCGTTTACCTATTTCTTACAAAATGGCGGCTTTGCTGTCAAGGATACACAGGATTTTGCGAGGACCCTTCCATTGATTCAGGGATCGTTTGTACATAAATGTGACATGTAAGTAATCAGAATGATTCTGACTATCTGTGTATTGTTATATGTTTTTATCGTTTTCACCGTAAGTAAGAGAAGAAGCCAGAAATGCTGATAATTACAGTTGTCGTTCTGCGTGATTTTGCGTCAGTCATGGCGTCACGCTGCACGGAAACTTTGACAATTTCTTATGAATTATCAAATCATTGCATTGTATCTGTTTATAATTTCCTATTTCTTACTACGATACTCTTTCCATGCATATTCCAAAGGTATTGAGCCATTGCAAGCAATGAATAGACGGATGAATGTTGAAAAATTTCAGAAAATGCTACGCAGTGTAAAATCGGAATTTGTCTTTGTTTACATTTCGAACCTGCGCAGTCTTTCGAGCACAGCGTTCGTTTTCACACCCAATATGTTTCGTCTCATTTTATCTGGACAGTTGGTATTGGTGACAAAGACCAGTTGCAATTTGTTTCTAAAATGTATGGGGAATTCAGTGATGCATTTTTCGAAGCTGAATATGAAATATACGTGATGTAATAGGCGTCTCAACACCGGCCTTCGCGAAACGTGATTTTGTAAACACTATCCAATATGGCGTAAATAGAGAATACTACACGAGGTCTCATTACATACGAATTATACGAAACGAGTGCCCTTCCTGTGGTATCTGACCGAGCGAAAGCGAGGTCAGATAACATAGGAAGGCCACGAGTTTCGTATAATTCGTATGTAATGAGACCGAGTGTGGTATTTTATTTATTACCCACGTCTTACATGCATTTAAACTGACAAAATAGCGTATTTTTGTTAATATTTTGGTTTCAAACCGAAACCGGTTTCATAAAGGGGTTGCGGAAGAGTTTTGTACTGTAGTACAATATTTGCATGACGTCACACCAAAATGACGTCACTGCCTTGGTAACCGACGTCACGATGCATGTCAGTTGTCATCGCCTCGTACAGCCTCCTATAGTAAACTACTCCGTAGCACCCTGTTTCTTGGTTTGCAGTTGCTTCATTCGGCTAACATCACTGGTGGAAACATTGCGTTTATGTTTTTCGACGGATATAATGTCTCAGTTCGACTCACAATTAAACAGCGACACGGCAACGTTCTCGATGCTTACATTCCCACAATGCATTTAAGTTGTAGAATGAATGAATTCGCGTGTTTGTTATGAATGAAAATATAGTTACGTCAGAATGTGACCTAATTGAGAGGTCATCGGTTATCCAATCAAATCGTTAGAATCTCAGGTCAAGTCGTTACGACACAGGTCAACGCGATACGACACACGTGTGACGTACGAGATTAGTATGCAACTACCCATACGTTGACCACGTGGGTAATAAAGCGCTATACGGCGTTCGTGTAAGTGCATTTTCGAAAACATCCCAACCGATTCTAGATTCATCGGCAACGTTTCAGAATTATAATGAGCGATTTCATGTAAAACTGATATCAGTGATCATGAATATGTTATTTTTGAAATTCAAAAATGGCGACATTTTCGATGAAGCCTATTTTGAAAGGTCATTTTCAGCACTTGAGCTTTGTCTAAAATAATAGTGGGTGGTATCAAGAAACAGGAAATTTCCCGCAGAATTCGAAACTGTGAAGTGTATTTGTGTGCGTGAGATATTTTGATTTTTATTGGACTTGAAATTGAGGGTTGAAGGGGAAGGACATATATGTCCCTGTGGCATCCAGGGGGTTAACATAATACGCTTAGTACCGAGCATGAATACTTACTGATTCATAAAACATTCGCGATAACTGTTCACTGAATCAGTTTCATAATCTGACATTAATTCTGGTTGTTGTTTACGTAAATAATGTCAACTACTGCGCGTCATGTGTTTCGCCTCGTATTAGATCTGAACAGAAATTAGATTATATCTACTTTTCAGCCGACAAAATAAACGCTTTACTATATAAGACGTGAGTATATAAGATCAAGAAATCTAATGCTGAACTGTGACATCTTACCACAGGCTACAATCACTGATGTTATGAAGTTCATCATGGAGTATGTTGACAATACCAGTTGACGTTCACAAACTGCTAAACTTGGCGCCACTTCCGTTTGACGCCTGCTACCAGGCAGTTTTCAGGGAGGCAAACAGCGCTGTGGGGAGCTTGCGTTCGAACGTCATAATCGGTTATTCCGTCACGCACTTCTTCCCAGAGTACCTTGCGGTAAACCAGTAAGCGCGGGAAGAATGTTAACCTTCCGACTAAGGCTCGCAACTCTTGTCGTCTTTACTATGATAATGAGAATTAACTCCCTTCGTATAGTGTAGCCGATGGCGCGATAAGTAGTTCTGTAATCAACATTTCAAGTTGAACCTTTTCTAAAACATGCTTTGGAGAGGTTGCATGATATTCTTTGACGAGGTTGATGAATGTCTGTGTTCCGGCCAGTTGAGCTCTGCACAACCATCAAGAGGTTCCAGTCCCATCATAAGTTCGCCCTCATGCCTTTATTGCCTGTGGATAATCTGTTGAGTGAGTAAGTGAGTATGGTTTTACGCCGCTTTTAGAGCTATTCCAGCAATATCACAGCAATGGGCTTCAAACATTGTACCCATATAATTTGTTGAGCATACCGAGGAATGTGAAATTGTGAATGCATAGATGTAATTTATATTTAACAGGGGCGTAGGAACGCTTTTCAGAGCGGGGTAGCTAATTTATGAAAAGTATTGAAAATCAAAATGAAATTGTAGTTATGGTAAGGTAGATATGGTTTCGTCTTGAAAAAAGTGGAGGGGCTCAGCCCCCACAAGCCCCCTCTGTTCCTACGCCGTTTAACAAGACTCAAACTCGTCGAAATAGGAGCTAGGACTAACCGGATTTTTACGGCAGGGCACTGAGATCACAATATAAGGTCGCTGTGACCCGTTTTTGTGTGTAATCGAAAACAGTTCCATCACAGGCATGGATAATCCATCAGTGAGACAATATGTATGATAAAATATCTCAACATTTTATTTCAAAGGAAATTTGGTTACAACAGCAAAAGATTTCACCTTAACATCACAAACGTGATTATCATTAGTGAGTGAGTTCAGTTTTACGCCGCACTCAGCAATATCCCAGCTATATGGCGGAGATTATCATTAAATGCAGCACGATCGATTAAACGCTAACCAGTCGTTTAGCAGAAACTAATCGAGGAGAATTGTATTAGTTGGTAGGAATGAATCTTTGACCCTGTTTGTCGTAAACATCGGTATCCGCAGTCAGCGACCAGATGGAGTGAGTTTAGTTTTACCCCGCTTTTAGCAATAATTTTATTCTAGCACTGTAACAGCGGGGAACACCAGAAATTGGCTTTACACATTGTTTCCATGTGGGGAATCGAACCCGGGACTTCGACGTGACGAGTGGATGTTTTGACCACTAGGCTACCCCACCACCTCCAGCTACCAGGAGGAAGACGTTGATACCCCGAAAATAAAACATGCCAGTTACTGCTTGATATTAATATTTGCTTTATCAACTTTTTGTAATTTTGTTGATGTCGAGATGCCTGTGAATTCATTTATTTGCGGCGTCACAGATTATAAGGCGTTTGTTTTACTTGCCAAGACTGGCCAAGAGACATGTTTCACTACCAGCTTACCGTTTACCAAGTTTACTTCAGAATACAGCCGTCTTTCTCTATTGGTTTCACACAGAATTGTTTTATGTACAGGTTTCTGGTTAACCTATTGTTTCAACTTCCGTATCGACACATTACAATACCCACAACTGTACAATATACTATGTATGTATTTCGTTTTTGCACCCCATTTGGGCAAGAAATCAATGAGGGTCCAGACCGCCTCTGTTGTGTAGTGGTTAGAGCGTCCGCCTCCGACCGCGTCATACCAAAAGACGTTAAAATATGGTATACTTGTTGGTCCCTGCCTGGCGCTCGGCATTAATGGGTACAAGGACTGGTCCGCTCGCAGTCAGTATAATGTGCATGTCTGAGTGGGCCATGCTTGACTGCGGCATGGTATCTCAGTGGGCTAGCACTATAAAACCTAGCTTAAGTCTGGGCTAGTACAAGCAGCCACACATACACACGCATGCACATTGTATGCATATGAGCGAAATATTCTCAAGCATGACGTTAAACCCAATTTCACCTCACCTCACCTCACCTCAATGAGGGTCCCCAGTTATTAATGCTGACCTACAACTTCTACTATCTGGTTATCAATAGTAACTGATTTAAACATGACTTATCTTTTCTCAAGATCTATAACAATTTCCATTGTTTACTGAACATTTAAAAGCAGAGACTGGACCAGACAATCCAGTGATCAAACAGCATGAGCATCGATCTACGCAACTGGGATACGATGACGTGTCAACCAAGTCAGCCAGCCTGACTACCCGATCCTGTCAGTCGCCTCTTACAATCATGGATTACTGAAGTTCAATTCTAATCGGGATCTTAACGGGTCTATTTGGACTGAAGACTCAGATGTTCTGAATGGTGGAAACGTGAGTGAGTTTAGTTTTACGCCGCACTCAGCTATATGGCGGCAGGAATGGTGGAAAAAAGACCTGCAAGTGCAGAAGCATATGTAAATTCCACTAAGACTAAACTGACATCCACAATAAAGTGCACATCTGATGTTTTGGGGTTGAAAGTGTTTTGATTGTGACTTCTTTTTTTGTAGTTTTTTATTTTGTTGCATTTTTCAACATTTTATACAAACAAATAACAGTGGTATTCCCGTATACATGATGAACAATCAAATAGTTTTAGCAGAATAAATCATGACATGAAGTAGTAGATATAATGATTGTCCGGGACCAAGTCCAACAAAAGCCTCTGCAAGGCTTTATTTCACAAATAAAGCTTTTGTCAGGCCCTTAGATCCTGCCCGAGTATATCTACTACTTTTGAGCCCCCAGTTAACTTCCCCGCCACGCGTGACATTATAAGAATCTCATTTTCGCTAGGGCAACCCATTTTTTCAGCAACCACAAATCCATTTTTTCGACCCGACACCAAGGTTGCTCGAACTTCCAATTGGACATATAGAGTTGCTACAATATACAGGATACACTCAGACAACAAAAACTATGGCAAAGCAAATTGCAGCAACTTTCCAAGAAATGGGCATTGGGTGCAGCAAATCGATCACACACCACCTCCTACTGGAAAACACGCACGACAACAACCTCGTGTCCGATATCTCAATGGTAGACTATCTCGCCGGAAATCTCGGGGAAACCCACATGCAACCACTCTCCGGCCTTCAACCCTTTGTCGACGACCTCTACGTGTTTGGCTATCTATCTCGCAAAGACATCGTGCAGCACAAGGGAAACGTCCAATGTACGACGGGAGAGCACGGCCACGGGAAAAAAATTGTCGGACTAGTCCACTGGATACTACGCACCACCTACAAAGAGCATACCGAAGCCACCAAAATGTATGCGACACTTCTCCACACGGTGCAAAAGACGAGTGCAGGACCTATTGCCAGCACAATCCAAAAGATCGAAAGTGAAACGCAGCAGATATCGCTACGAGCATGGAAAGCCCAAAACGACGAAACCCCTTTTGCAGTCTTTGTGGCCAAACTGGACGTCTCCGAAATCGGGATCGACCAACTCCAAGAGAAATTGTCCAATCTAGAAACAAAACTACAAGGCAATGGACTACAGCATCGACTACACCCGAGACTATTCCGGCGTCCTAGACCGCAAACAGCTTGTGCAATTCCTCTGTAGCCAACATGGATTTGTCAAGCAAGGCGATCTCGTGGAAGCGATCGAAAGCGGAAAATCCACCATCCTGGACAACACCCACTCGGTCGGCAACCATGTTTGCACGTGGGTAGAGACAACAAAGTCCGGCAAAATGATGCGCACCAAGCTGTACAACAAAGTCGTTTACAACTTCGAAGCCGGAGAAATCCGAGAACCAATTGGTGGCCATCTTGCCGACTATGTGGATTGTCCAAACGAGCATCTCCGGAAAACCTTTCTCCACCCAGACGTACAACAACGAGGTTGCACTCGCATAGAAGTGTCCCTGTACCCCTGCCAAGACACAGACATGTCCACCAACAGAGCAGAAAACGTTTTGCAAGACGTGTTGGAGCGGGTTTCGCCAGCAGGCGACGGTCTATTCGTAGTACAACCAGCAGCAACGCAGTGGCTTCGTCTCGCAGAAAAGATAGACCACTGTTTGGTCCTAGCCGACCGTCCACAGCAAACGATCTTCGTTGCGTGGTACGCACATTCGAAAACAGGACGCGTGTCCGGGGTACACATTCGTCCAACCAACACAGAATCCTGGGACAAAACCATCGACTGGGCCATAGGAGACTTCGGTTTTCGAAGGGTTCCAATATTCCGCGTGGACATCCTATCGGTAGAAGGAGATACAGTGGAACTAGACCCACTCCGATGCTATGCCAAAGGCGAGAACACCAAGACAGTGCTAGCTGCCAGCAAGAAGCCAACAGCTCTACATCCATCCGACATGGATCCAGACATATTTCTCCCGACAACTCCCCACATCGAATGGTGATGGAGGCAGAAAAAATGCCAAAAGCTGGGCAGAGAAGGATCCGACCAACCTTTCCAAGAAATGCCGAACATAGCGGCCAATTGCAAAATTTCTACTCTGTCTACGCAAGCACGAGGAAGGAAATTGCTGGAGCTCCTGGAGTCCGAGAAGGCAGAAAATTGGCAACGAAGAGCCGCAAAGGTGCTACAAAAGGAAATACAAATCCAGGAAGAATGAGCAGTTCTACGCAAAAAAGAGATCGAAGCTCTGCAAGACAGTTTCGCAGAAGCCACAGCATACATCCAAAAACGAAGACAATCCCAACTGCTTGTGGAAAATTGCTTTGCAATACGAATACAAACAAAGTAGGGGCAATAGCCGGTCGATACGGTATTCTCAGCTTTCGAACCACCAACCATTCCACACGCATCGTCCTCCAATCGCCAATGGGCAAAACAAGCACTGTTTGGACTACGGCGGGGCTAGAAAGAGTACTACGACAACACGATTCCTACTTCGAGAGAACGAAGACAGACTGTTTCGAGCGACAAACGTATTGGTCGGTAGAAAAGGATTTCTCTCGAGACGAAGTGTACGAACACACCCTGCAAATCGAGATCGAATCCTCCGAAAG